TGCAGTTCTATATAATTTCTCTAATTAAATTGTTGTTGTGGGGTTTCGCGGGATAGGTAGTTTGTTCACAGTCACACCACTCTCGTTTGAACGGTCGTCCATCCCGTTCTGGCGTAATTATTCCGGTGAGTCCACACCAAAGGGAAGCACTGGACTTGAGTTTCGCTCTTGTTAGAGCTACTCAGCAGTGCCGTGGCCGTGCCGGGATTTGAACCCCGGACATCTGACATGCGAGGCGAGCGTGTAGCCACTACTCCACCAACGCACGTTGGACGTATCTGTATTTTCATGTCTTAACAGGCGAACGTTATTGTTGTCAGCTAGGTAAGTGAAAACTGCATCACATATTTCCTCTGCTGAGGAAATGGGAAGCGATTAGTATCCAGGCGTCTTTCGACAGTATTTGAGTTATGGTGCGAACCCTTCAGATACCGAATTGCATCGAGGAGGATTGTCATGCGAGGTCATGGAAAGGGTTCGGCTGCGAGTTCGAAACGTCAATTTCCAAGCCCTGTTATCCTGTTATTGATAGAACTCCTTAATAATTGCATCATATTTCAGAATTGGTTGGTTGAACTGGATGAATTCATCTTATCCGTAATTCCTCTGTGTTTGAATGAATTCACCAGAAGTACTGCTCCAGGTAAGAACAATGATTGTTCATATAACAGTACTGCGAACGGGAATTCTACGAAATCCGCAACCAGCTACAACTAATACAGTGGCTACATCTCTGTAACGTTTCTGCAACCGCGAACGAAATAAAGCCATTGAGTAGTACGTTACGCATGTACATGTATTGCGATATCTCGAATATCGTACCAAGTGAAACATTAGGCGGCCTGGTGCAGCACATTCAGTTGTCTGAAAATATCGCATACGAGAGATTCAGCTGGGGTGTGAGAGGTGAGCCCCAAATTTGTTTGCAAATGAGTGTATTTCGCTAAAGCCAAATGAATAGTGAAAACAGATAAGGTCGGCTACATCTGAGTGGAAAATTGAGGATCTTCTGAATTTGTGCGCTTCATTTTGGACACGCTGGCGGTGCAATACAATGTCTCTACTCCGTGTCTTTATCGAGCACTGGCGCAACTGGGGGGCATCGGTCAAAAACGCGTCACATTACACAGTGAACGGAGTGCTCTTATCTGTTAGACAACCATCGCTTTATAAACGTTGAATAGGATTGCTCCAGGGACTTTCGTTTAGGTCCAGACTTGTACGCGATTCCATGGGAGTACAATTGCTCTTCTATTGATGTTGTGTCCAGTGGGTGTCAGCTCAAGTACCAATGTTATTCCAGTGTATGTTAAGTCTACACAATCATATGAAACGTCTGACAGGGGATGATGACACTGATGTGCATGGTGTTACTTTAGTTAGTGATGTTCTACTGACACTTTCAGTTATGATGATCTCCAGCGGCTGAAGATATGGTTTTCTTGCTTCAGTTGTACATCTCTGGAGAGGTCAAACATCAAAAAATAGTACGGAATGGATTTCAGTAGTAAAACCTCTTTCAGAAGAAACCGACTCATAGAAGAGACATTTCCAGTGGTCATCTGAGAATAGTTGTATTTTCAATCGAAAGCAATTTGTAAGAGCTCGCTCCTGATCACTCTTTTTAAAGAAGTCAAGAATGAGTAGTACACTGGCACCTTTAGCGACTCACCAAAGACGAGCTTTTTGAAGACACCTTGTTTCCGAGTTCTGTTCCACGAAAGATTTACGAGGGACCGACCACAAATGATCTCATTTGGGAAGTGATCCTTATAGAGGAGATGGTCATTGTGTGCTATACAGAGGTGAATCACGGTACGGGATCTTAGATCAGTTAGGTGGGTCGACGCTGCCTTCAGGACATTACTTAGAAATCTAATTGATGTAGAAATACATAAAAGTTTGGTGTACGTCCCGGTATTCATTGGCGTGCTATTTTGTGCCGGGGAAACTTTGAGGATATTCTGTGTTGAAAGGGGCGGGGAGATCGTTTCTCGGAAGATATCAACTTCAGTGCCAATTTAACAGAGCTGGAGTGAACTAATCTTCATTTGTTGGGGATGAAGATCTCAAACGGACCACTGCATTTTTACAATAATCAAACAGTTCACCCGTCTTTCGCTAGTTTCTGGATGATTTCTGAGGTTTAGCAAGTACTCAGTGAAAAGCAGGAGTACATCACCAGTGGTGTGTAGACTAATTAATTTTTCGAAGTGGCCGTTCTTTGGAAGGATCTCACACAAAAGCATCGCTTTCAAGGAATGGGGTTAGATATGTTACAAGGGAGTGGCATGTATTCAAGCGGTTCTCGCTTGAGCGCATCGCTGTTTACCAATCGACATTGGTATATTCATCGTTTTTTACAGTTTTGATTTGATTTTTATAGGTGAGGTGAGGGGTCTTACACAGTTCTCTAATACACAACTAGCCGAAAAGTCTGATGACCACTGAGTTACTTAGAAATCTAGAAATTTCCTGGTGAAGGGAACGAATGCATTGCATGCATGATCACTTTCAAATTTCACTGCGTTTCGCATATGAGCTTCGTCTTTTTGTTGGCATGTATACTATCAGTTTTCACAATTCCAGTAGACTATCAGAACGAAATTTGTACTAGTTGCTTAATCACAAACGACAGTGAACACCACTGTGTTCTTACAAGGACAGTGATCTCCCTCATGGGTAGCCCACATCTGACAAAGTGCTGAAATACTTAAGGTTCATCTATATACTATATGTGTATACTACGGTCACTCACGTGGCAACTTGGGAAAACTCAAACACGAGTTTTGTACCCTGATCTGTGTTGAAATTAAAAATACCCCTTCGATGAGACAGAGCGTCTTTGTGGGGTGGTCGGTCAAAGGGTACCAATTTAAAGACAAATCTCGAATGCCGTCTCGAAGTGGTCTTAACAAGGGCAGTATTGTCTTCCTTAGATGGACTGCTGTATCGTGCCTAATACCGTGAGTGTTGTCTGACTTGCTCAGAATAGGCCTCCAATAGAAGCGTTGGGCTGGATGTGTGTCTGGATTGAATCGATCGATCGTTGATGCATATTTCTCAATCCTCATAGTTTGGAAGGACAAAGTGTCAGAGCACAAAGCGTCTTCGGTGAAGTAATGGATGAAACGACTGGATAAATGTTCAAATCGCCGTGAAACTATTCCAACTACTTTCACGTGAATACTAACGATGGATTTTTGGCGAATCCTGTGCACAATTTTCGACCCGTTGTTCCGTACAGTTTTGTGATCTCAGTGCTGTTGTACCTCAACTACTTAACGTGGTCTGTTGAGATGTTGGTGGCTCACAGTAAGGTTTTTCAACACGTCAGCAAATTTGTGATCCATAATGCACCATTGTAAAAATAAGTGTTTGAAATTCAAAACTAGTCCTTGCAGAGATGTGATGCAAAATTCCGAATTGGACACAAATCTTCAGTTGTAACACATGCGGGGAAGCACAGTTGTGTCATCATCATCATCACTGTCAGCTGTACAATTGTGTGGACATTCTCGAACAAGTATGCACCACTGTGCCATCACACTATGATGATAAATAGATCGCACGTGACTTTGTAACAGTGCAGTGGGCATACAGCTCCACCACCGGCTATGTAGAAAACCAGTGCTTGCACAGCAAGTGCATTGCTTGTATGTCCATACGCTTGCGTTCAGCCTGGTGCTCCGGATCGCTGTAATTCAGGTGAGATTATTTTTAGCGAAACAGCGGTAGTTGAGTCCACCATATTTCTAAACTATACGCTACTGAGTATTCTGGTGATGGATGGTGATAGTGATTCCGCAGTTAATAGCTTTATTCACAGCTGCAGAACATAGGTCACCGGATGTGAGCACCTTCGACAGCCCACGACCGGTTTCGCCCAGCTTGGGTCTCATCAGGTAGGCGCAGTCCTTACGTACCAAATTGCAAGAAATTCGGTTTATACACTCAATTTGGTTTTCGTATTTCTTGTGATTGACAGTTAACCGTTTTTAAGCGAATCATATGCTGATGGGCTCGTTTCTCACACCATCGTCTTCTAGACTGGGCTTGTCACGCGTGAAAACCTGTGTACAGTTTTTGAATTGCAGACACCGCCTCGTTCCATGTGTATGTCTACGTCTTCTAGACCTTGTCACGCGTGAAAACCTGTGTACAGTTTTTGAATTGCAGACACCGCCTCGTTCCATGTGTATGTCTACGAAAAACGAATGATCCTGCCTTCTAACAATAAGGGAAAGCTGACTGCTTCGGAATTTCGGTAGCTCAATTCACTGGTAGTTGATCAGGCAGCCATCGATATGTTTGCTCAGCTTGGCGATTAGGTGACATCATGATGGCGCGGTGATTATGTCACCTCAGTTGGTGATAAAATGCTTGCAAGGTTATTGCCGAGCAGACCGACAGCCACCTGATCAACCACCACAGAAAGAAAAGCCACAATGATATATTAAGCTTCGATGGTGGATTTTATCAGACTTGGTGAAAACCCTACACCTAGTAGGGACTTAAACACATAGCGAGAGGACCGTTTACACGATATCTGTAAACAACGAAGTTCCGAGTTTTCACAGCTTGCGGTCAAGACAATCTATGACTTTCGTCCGAGCAAGCTTCCCCGCAACACCCTCTAGTTGTGTGCGAAAAATTACATGGAACGAGCACTGCATACTTAATATACACACACTAAGAAGTGCGCGAATATGGTTTACGGATAACTTCTCTATTCGGTAAATAAAACATTGTTGATACGGTTGATTACATCCGTGAATGGAGAGATGACGGATTTTGGGAGACTGGAATATACCCATGTATCCAAACAAAGAGCCTTAAAGATGACTTAATAGATCCAGCTGAAGTTGATCTCTTCGTTACAAATGTCATCTTCCCAAAGTCGCTGAAATGTAGACACTACTCAAGAGGGTGCACCTGAACCGAGACAAGCTAGCCCGATCAGCCTGACTTGGTTGCAATTCACGAAAGAAACAGAATGGGAAGGTTATAAAAGATGTATTTACACATCGGATGCCTCGATGTCCAAGACGGTACAGCACCTCTCATTTTATCAGGAAGACAATCAAGCGAAAATGATTGAAGCCCATTTAGGGGATCGAAACTTTGCACAGACAAAGGTTTGGAAGGTTTGCACTTTAGAAAAACGCTTTCGAAATTACTGGTAGTTGCCAGTAGAAGTACTTGGAGCTTAGAATGGGTTTCCACGAATAGGTTAGTTGTTATAAACAGTTAGAAATGTACAAGCAGTGTTGAGGTAAAAAAAGCACTGGTTACAAGGCGGGCGAATGGGTAGTGAGAGCGAGTGAAAACCATGATTGGTGTAAAAAAGAACGTGGGAGCATCATGATGGCTCTGTCTCGCTCTTGAGGCACAAGTGGTAGCGCACATCCTTTATAGTCCGCGGAATAAAGTCGCCGGACGATTCGGAGGCAGATTCAGACGACGATATACGCACCATCAGCGCCCGATTGCTGTTGCTGCTGCTGTTTGGCTCGCATCTCGCGTTTGATTGTTTCTAGGCGTTCTCGTGCTTTTAGACGGGCAATTTCGTTATCTTTCTTCCGTGTTGCATTGCTGGATCCCGAAGGATGTTTGTGCTGTGACAAGAAAAACACAGTAATTTCTGTTTGCATCAAATCACAGGTATGTTAAATCTAATGTCAGCGAATTAAGGAAAGAGGATCCTGTACAACAGAATCGCCAAAGAACCACCCGGGATAGAACATAGCCTACAAGGAATTGGTAGCCGAGGCTAACTGATCGACCAAGTGGTTGGTGCACTGCATTACACACAAAGTGACTTCCGAACGGGAGTGTTCCCCTCCCCAAATTCACGGGCTCGTATACCATTTACACCAAAGTGACTTCCGAACGGGAAGTTTCCCCCCCCCAAATTCACGGGCTCGTATACCATAGTTAGTATTGAATAATGGGCGTCATTGTACGCCTGCAGAAGTAGTAACCTCTTTTTGAGAAGGGCAATTTCGGTCCATTACAGAATACTAATAAAGAGTGAGAGTGTTGCTTCATTGGAACGAGCGAACAAAACGGTACAGAATCGCCTGTCATGGGGTCACACAAAGGTGCGTTTTTGAGAGAGGTATGATGTTATCGCACTAGACGACAGAACGGAATGCTTACCAACTGCGTCATCAGTGGACGTGGAACGTAATGAACATACTAAGAAGTAGCTCTGTGCGCGTATGCGGCCACCTGTGACTGGTCACCAAAAGAAGTATCATTATCATCACTGTTAGCTGTAATAACGGCGTACTCGTCGTACAGTGGTTGTAGCAGCCGCAGTTTCGTTCACCGATGATTTGGGGGAGGGGGTGGGTAGCTCGCATTGCACGCGCGAGCTGGTAAATTTGTGCATAAATCCAGCACTGTCAGTGGGCTGTCAAGTGAGGGGGTTGGAAAAGGAGCTATGCATTGAAGGCAATAGCTTGGATGCACGAGCGCCATTGAGGGCGCGACTGGGCCATGTCTGATAATGTCCCTAGCCATTGATGTGGCCCGTCTCGGGGTCCCCATCCAGGAAGACGGCAGTGAGCAGCGCAGCCGAGTTTACTGGTAATTGCTTTCATTACTTCGCTGCCAAGTCATTGTTTGA